GATCGTCCATAAATGCTCGGATCCTGAGCCGGCTGACGAGCTCGGCTTTTCCTCCGCGTCCCGTCTTCTCATTCGTGAGGTAAAAGCCGCCACCCATCTGGCAGCCGGACGCGCGGCACTGGTCTCTAAACGAATCTATCTCCTGGATGGTCGAGTCGTAGCGGTCTCCCGCGCCCGTGAAGGAGATGATTGTTATTCGAGCAGGAAGCGATTCAAGCTGTTTAAGGCGGTCTGTGAGGAGGTTGGTTGGTGTACGCACCGGAGTCAGCATGGTATCTAGTACCTTATGCCAGTCGAGGCCAACTTCAAAGACGCCCGCTTGAGGAGGGACTAGGGTATGCGGGTTTGCCAACTGTTGCCCAAACAACCGGGGCAACGGGTTCGGTTGGTATCTTGTAGTAGGCTGGACACTTCGAGGCGTGTCTGAGGCAGGGCTGCCGGAGGGTGGCCTATGTGGGGCCAGCCTTCCACCAGATGGCGGCTCCTCGTGACTATCGGCGCGTGAAGCAGCCTTTGGTACCCACCACGAATTGTCCAAGACGGTAGGTGCAGCTGTCGATGAGGCAGCTTGCGAAGCCCATGTCGTGTCATGGGGAACTGACGGCACACCTGCAGGCTTACCATACGGATATGGATAAGGATTAGGTGGAGGGGGCTTCCTCTTCGGTGTTACAGGCCTAGGAGGAGCCGGCTCTGGTTGCCGTCCTGTGTTCCGTTCCCACGAGGCTGATCTCCCGGTCAACGAGCCTGGCGGGGTCTTGTAGGGAAGCCCCGATGTGGCGTGCTGGCTAGGAGGTCGAACAGGCGATCTGGGCTTTGGGGGTGTCTTAGGGGTTCTCGGCGTCGATGGCTCGCCTTGGTCGTCGTCACCGCCCGCAGGTGGGGTTGGATCGGACGGGGCTGCAGCCGTGATGCCCGCGCCTACTGGTACACGAGCACCAGCTGGCAGCGGCTTGCCTGCGCTGTCGGTCTCGACATGCACGGGTCTGTTGCGCTCCTCAAAGGCTTCGAACGCTCGCCGCTTGGCTTCGGCAGACAATTGCCTCGCCTCCGGCGGGGGTGGTTTGACCTTGGTAGGAGGAGACCTTGAGCGGACCGGGCGTGCTTTCGACGGCGGTCTCGCCGGTGGCGGAGATGCCGACGATGACTCGATCGATACCACGGGAGGTGGCGTGCTCTGGGACCCGGACGCTTTGGCGACAGGCGGTTGAGACACCGGGGGCGCAATTGGTGTAGCGCTGGCTTGTGCTGCCTCCCGCGCCTGAGGCGGCGGCTGAGGCGGATGGGATGGCACGAACACTGTCTCAGTGGCTGTTGACAACTGAGGTTCATGCACTGGGACCCTAGGACCGGCAGCTACTGAGGCACCCTTTGGTTTATTCTTAGGGACTATTATTACTTGTCGAACATGTGGGGGCGTTATGGGTGGCGCCCTCTTTAGTGCATCTGGTGTTAGAACTACTCGAACACGCTTAGATGCTGGCTCGGCCAACTTCGGCTTTGGGTGACTTGGCTGACTGGTCTTAGGACGATGGCCCTCCAACCATGTGAGCCAACCGGCGTCTTCAGTCCTACCTTCAAGATTGCGAATGCGACGTGAGCGAGCCTCAGGGTCAGAGTTATCTGAGTCTTCGGCATCTAGTTCATATAGGTCAGCATTAGCACTAACATGAATGGTGGACGAAGAGGGCAGTAGGTGATCGCCCTCGGCCTGCGGGGTGCTTGACCAGTCCAAGTCGTAGACCCGGTCTTGAGCGTCTTCAAGTGGCACCGATGGTTCGTGTTCGCGGTCCCACTGAGTCCTACGAAGGCGAAACGGTGTTAAGTGCCGATGGATGAAGGCACCAGGACCCGGGATCATGACGACCGGACGGACTGGCTCCGCGCCTGAGGCAGCGGCCTTAGCACTCGTTGTTGGCTGGTCTTGATCGGACTCGGGCGCCTCAGGAGAGGCAGCCCCTTGGCCCTCTTCTTCCTCCTCCTCCTCAACCACGACGTCCTCCTCCTCTGCTGTGTTCTCTGGCCTCACGTGTGACAACACTTGCCCGAGCTCACCACGAAGCGCTGCTCCGCCCAACGCACTGGACGCGTGGGCCTTGGCATGCACGACTTTATTATTTAGTGTCTCGAGGTTGGCGTCTTGCTGCTGCAAGGCGCTCATGTCAAGCTGGTCAGCATCGGGAGGAACAGGGGGAACTGCTTTGACGGGTCGAAGAACCGGAATCTGCTCGGGATTGCTGCGTGTCCACTTTGGGATCATCGGCTTAAGTGGGCCACGGTAGCTATATTCATTAGGACCCGGAGCGTCAAGCGGTTCTGTGTCACCATATGGGATGGACGGAGGTGGCTCGAGTGGGACGACAGACGAATGCCCCCCTTGATGGTCAGCTGCTGTCGGAAGACTTGGTGCAGGACCCTTCGGCGGAGGTGGAAGTCGAATAGGCAATGATGGCTTGGGGACCTCAACGAACGTAGCCCCAGCTTTGACTTGAGTCGACCCTTTGGCCTGCGGTGACGGGACCGGCGGGACCTTTGGGGGTGGACTAGGTGGGACAGGCAGGCTACTGGACGAATGCGAGGCGCCCGCGCCAGAGGCTGCGGCTGGCTTAGACTTCGGCCCTGCGGCGACAGACTTTGGCTTTGTCTCAATCCCTTTTGACACTGACTTTCCGGCACTGGCCTTAGAGGCCTTTGCTTCTACCTGCGAACGTGGTGTCAAGACGATCGGGACCTGCCCACGGTCAAGCGTGGGACGCCAAGGAGCTGTCGCTATTGCTGCACTGACCGCGGAGGATGATCCCGAAGTGGCCTTAGGGGCAGCAGAGCGAGATCGATCGGTGCGGGGCGGTGCGGCCGAAGAGGAAGCAGTCGAACCGGAATTAAAGACTGTTCTTGGAGGGGCGACCTTAGTGTCAGTCGAGCGCACATGGCGGAGCGGCACAAACGGGTGGTCTGAGCTCCAATAACCCCTAGGCAGTCTGTATTTCGGCTGTGGGATACCTTGCAGCAAAGTGGAGTCGATCGAATAGAGGAACTGCCAAAGCTCAGGCAGGATGGTCGCCCATCGAGTGATGGTGTCCACTGGCAAAAGCTCTCCCTCTGCATCAGACGCCCACCTCTCAGAATGTCGAAGAACATATCCGAACCACTCTGGATACTGCTTGCGGGCCACATGTGGGGGAATATGAGGGAGATTGAAGCGGCGGCCGAACCGTGCATAAGTGGAATCACCGAGCTGCGCACGGATGTATTCACACGTCTGCCCATAGGAGAGGTTTTCACGGCCCGCGACGTGTTTGGCGCCGGCACGGCACCCCCTCCTACGGGCGCGGTCTCTCTCCCCCTTTCCCGCGCCAGTGGCAGCGGCTTCACCGACACTCAAATCAGCCGGTTCCGGCTCAACGCCTGCGATCCGGGCTGACTCCTCCAGCGCTGCCTCCAAGTCGTACTGTTCTTGGATGCGTTGCGCAATCCCTTCTTCCACGGCGTCCTCGGCGGAGGAGTCCTCGTCTTCACCAAGTGGATCAAACAGGTTATTAGTGGATAGGGGAGGACTATTAGGTGTAGATGATGCCTGGGCAATCAGGGTTTCGGGCGGCACGAACTCTTCAGGCCCTTCCTCCGCAGGGGCGAGATCGCCTTGGTCTGTCGGATTAGGGGCGTCCGCGCTGGCCGAAGTTGCCTCCTCCGGGACCGGATGGTCTTGATCAGGGGAGGGCTGCGTATCTCGGGTATTGCCTAACGAATGCTCATCCACGGGGGCCGGATGGCCTTCGGCCGTGGGGCTATCGAGAGGGTGGATCTCGGTGTCGCCTGGGTATTCTAGACCCGTCGGACCGGCGAAAGGTTCTTCAAGCTCGAGGTCTCTATCTTCGTGCTCAATCACGGAAGGTGGAAAGAGGGTCGGGCCTGAATCAGCCTCCGAGGCTGCTCCTGCCCACTTCGAGCTGTCCGAACCCGCGCCTGCGGCAGCGGCTGGTGGGTCTTGGTTGTCAATGAACAAGTTCAATGCATCAATGGCCAATGAACCAAGTTCTGACAAGGACGTCACCTCAACCTCTGCCTCATTCACGCCTTGCCTAGCGAATCCGCGCTTTGAGCAGCGGCTTGCATGGCGGCTGCTGGCGGGGATCTTGGGTTAGGGTCAGGGTCACTACTTAGTCCTAGCGAATCCGCGCCGGAGGCAGCGGCTGGCGCTGACTCGGGACGGGGTGACCTAGGAGGCGTAACCCTCGGCATTGGGCCTAAAGGAGGCGGACTATTAGAGCTCGTAGGTTGGTTAGACCTACGGCTGATAACCAATGAAAGGGACAAGGGTTCCGGGATATCAGTAAACAACCACCACAACCTATTTAGGGGAAGGGTGGATGAAAGATACCCGATTGTATGGAGGGCCCTGGTCCTAGAAGGCACACGGCGGGGAACACCCGAAGGATTGGAACCCGTGGTGTGCAGGTGTGCGGGTTTGGGGAAGGAGCTCCTACGGCCACCTACAACACAAACCCGAAAGCAACGAATGCGCGAAAGCTTGCACGAACGAACGCGAGCGAACGGCGTGCGCGACAGCTGAAAAGCACGACGGAAGCGCGCTTTTCTTGAGCCAATATGTGTCGGTATGACACAAGTCTGTTGAACATGTCTGTACATGAACCGCATGACAAATAAGGGGTTAATTCTGGTTCATGAATTTTGACTGAAATACACTATATAATTGCTCTGAAAGGCATGTTCAAAAACACAAGCTGGTCTTTCACATCCAAATCCAGCAATGCAGCCACGTCCGCCAATTGGCGGGGGCGAGACTTTGTGCAAGCTAAGGAAATGAACTAATGGGGGGTATTATCTCTTGACAGCAAGTTTGGCCTGGCATCCTGGAGAGATGTTCCGTTCGAAAGAGCTAACTGAGACTGTTCATGCTTTTCTTCAAAACGGCCTGTTCTGTTCAAAACAAACCCAATTTCCTTTGGAGAAGCCTTCCGAGTCGGCTGAGTCAGTTCTGAATTCGACAGGGCCAAACGTGCTGCGTCAAGCAAGGCTTGTTGTTGCCTCACAATCACAGATTGGCCGTCACAAATCCCTGAGCCGGGCGGCACATGTCGGCACACATGTCACAGGAGTTGGAAGAATAAAGAGATGAAAGCTGTTCATCTCCTTGAGATGATTTTTTGATACTTAATACTTACTGTAAAAAACTTTCACCGTGTCCTAGTGCCAAGATGTGCCATCCAAGGCACCCCCAGATCACAGGGTTTTGGGTGATGCGATCGACCAGGTTTGTCACTCTCCTTCGAGATGTCGGTCTTTAACATGGACTTCGGTGCAGCAGCCGAGGCAAAGGACTTCTCGCACTTCTACTTTCGAATTCACTACTAGCGATGGCCTCCAACCTGTTAACGACAATGTAACAATGCTTTTTGAGAACCCCATCTCTTTCATATTCTTTCCTTTCTGTGCCACACAACTTGCTCAGAATAATAGTGGCAGCGTTTGAACAATCTCATCCGCCCGGCTCCAGGTAACGTTGAAGCCCTCTCTCTCCGAGTTCGAATCCGTGACGAAGCGGATCACCAAGCTCCTCAAGTCAAGCGGCATAATGACTAGTAGCGTCCTTGCTCCTAGTAGCGATGCCAGGAGCCCCTAGTAGCTTCTTGCTACTAGTAGCGATGCACTTGTTACTAGTAGCCGAAGTCAATGGTATGACTAAGTGCATTGCAATTCCAATCAAGTTGCAGTTTTGCACAGACAAAAAACCTATCGTACCCGTGCCTTGTTGCAGCCTCAACTATGGCTGTGCCTTCGGGATAGGAGCCGCAAACGCTTCCTGACCAACCGATCAGAGGAAACCATCCGAAACACCCTCCAACTGAAATAAAATAGGAAAAACAGTCTTCAATCATATGTTCTTCTTGCTTGGAGCATGTGCAAATCAATTGAGGGACATTTCCAGGAGATCAGGTCAGTGTCAATCGCCAAAACTTTGAAGTGGCTACTACAAGAAACTCCAAGACAGTCTTAAGAGCGAAGACTCAACGAGGACCTGGGTGAAAGGCTCCACCAAAATCTGCACATTGCCCAAAGCTGACAAAATGCCAGTGCAAGAGACAAAATACCCAAGAGACAAGTAAAAAAAAGGACTGAACAAAACACCCAAGGGTCCCAGGAGACGCAAGGTTGCCCCGGCAGACACATAGAACTCCAAGCGGTCACCTTCTTCGGATTCCGAGTTCGTGTCGAAGTCTCAAGTTCTTCGACAAAGTCGACGGATTCAGAATTCAGTAACAAGTGCCACGCTAGTAGCAATAGGTGCCTTACTACTAGTAACAAAGTTCGCTATTAGAATTAACATTAAATTAATAGCAAACATTGTTACTACTAGTAAGGCACTTGTTCCTAGAAGCGATGCACTTGTTACTAGTAGCTTCTTTTTACTACTAATTCAACGTCGGAATGTCTCGACCTGCACAGTTCACGGAGTCGACCACGTCGAAGAAATTCACAAAGACCGTGAAGCGGACGTTCCCTGTGGCTTCCAAGAGCCAGGAGCATGTCAAGTCCTCGACAGCTTAAACATGCTTAAAAGAAACTCACATGTCGAGATGTACTAACCAAGACATATCTTCCTGTTTCTAGTAACGACCAGAGCTTCCTTGGGAATCGTTTCACCTGTAGTAACAATGTTTTTTTGAATGGACAATTTCAGACAAAAACTGGCCTCGTTGTAATTGTACCCAATGGTGCCATCGATGATGGTGCCATTCTCTCCTTCCAGCAAACCTCAAAATCCGAGAGCTCCGCTCGGCGAGAAGATGCTCCACATTTGTGCTAGGGAAAAAAGATGCTAAAAGGATCCAAAAGGAGAAGGCTGAGGGTCACACCAGTCACACTGACCGTATTCTCCGAATCACATGGGTTTGGATCGTTGACGCCATGTGCAGTGATTGGATAGCCATAGACCTCATCGAAGCTATGATACCTCAGAGTCGTCTCGAGTCCTCTTACGTCCGGATGCAGGAATTGTTTCTTGAAAAACAGTTGCATTCTTTATGCTGTAACAAGTGCATCGCTACTAGTAGCAAGAAGCTACTCAGGGCTCCTGGCATCACTACTAGGAGCAAGGACGTGACTAGTCATTATGTTCCACCATTTTTTTAAATGTTTGTTGCTTTTTTGTTTTATGGCAGTTGCACCAAGTAAAACATCGAACCAACGCGTTCACTCAAAACATGGAACTCTCTGTAAAGAGCGGAACGAAAACAAATCTTTCTTTAACAATATCATGTGCCAATCTCTGGCTTCCTTGTGGCTTCTATGGCTCTTTCTGCAGTGCCTTCATTGTCCCTTCTGTTCTGCTATTTGGCACGCTGTTTTGTTCGGTTCCCCCTTCGACCTTCTATGGTGTACTTCATAAAGCGTTTGAGGTCTAACATTTAAAAATCCAAAATAATGTACCAATAGAATCTTTGATTTTACCGTTCCTTTACTTTGCCACGCAGTGAGCCTGCAACGCAGCTTTTCTTGAACAACGCTCATTTTATGTACTGTACAGTACAGGTTTTTCTATTCAGCTTTTATTGACTCTAGTAAACTGGAGCGACTAAAGCCCTTATTGCTACTTCTGCACTTGGTCAAAAGAAATATCTTGCATCACATAGCTTGCATACTTGCATCGCCTCGCTAGGCTGCAAAACAATGAACAATCCAATTCAATATCCACCAGCAACATGACATGAGATCCATTGTGAAACCTCCCTGGCACCTGTGCCACTTGTTTGCCCGAGCAACTGTTTGCCGAACTTTAACTTGCTACGGAATGGTCTAAAACGTCAAAGTGAAAAGTAGTTGAACATGCTGCATGCTTGAACTATACGTTGGCAAAGCACACCAGTCACGTATTAGGTCCAGTGCAGCTCACGTTGCAGCTCAGTGTAAGGAACAGGCTGCATATCACCTGCTGGGCCACTCCAAAGGAAACGAATCCTGGACGACGTACCGGGCGGTAGGATCGGGTAGGATAGGAAGCGAAACAATTTTTCAGAGGGCACGACCAAACAACTTTTACCGCTGCATTCTGATGTCAAATTCCGGTCCTCCTTGGAAAAGTCAACATCTCCTGATCAATTCGCTCTGGCCTTGGTGAATTTTGGAGAAACTGCTGTATCAGAAAAAGGCTTGTTGATGTTTACTGAATAGATCTGGATGCATAGGAAAGCACACTGGGTAAAAGAAAACCCAGTTAAACAACAACAGAGTACATAGTCCCAGTTCCAAACTGAAGGCTGCGTCAGGGTCGGTTTTGACAAGGTAATCTGTGAGCAAGTTCCAGGCTGAACTTGCTGAACTGTTCGGTATTTTAAGGATTTAAGCTTAAAAGCTTCGCTGCTTCGCTTGAGAATGAAGCTAGGCGGCAGAAGTGGATCTGCCCAGTACTCCAAGTGGAAGAAGTAGAAAGTGCTATTCAGCTCCAGGGGCATAGCGTTAAAGGTCTCTGAAAGGAGTCCTCGAAAAAACGGGTGCCTTCCTTGGTCCCTTGGTCCTTTTCTTTTGTCTTCTTTTGCCAAAAGAACTATACTGTACTATATTACTTGCTTTCCAGACTGTGTCTGTCCAAGTCAGAGTCGAGTCCCTGTCCGTCCTTGAGAGCGACCGGCCAAGAGAATTCTATCTTCCCACGTCAAAACGAAAGCGCCCAAGACCTCCACACTCAACCTGACGAGTGACGCAAAGCGGAAAGTGATAAACTCAGAATTTGGCGTCGATGTAGGTTGGAGGCCATCGCTTCTGGAGTCGATTCATTTTTCATTTCTCAAAGTGTGGCCCAGTGACGTGTAGTTACCTCCCAGCTCTGGCCGCAAGTACGACTCGAAGTGCGCAGCATCGTAAGGAGACTGGAACTGGTTGATGTAGGGCACCTCCAATTTCGGGATCCATAATGGAAGACACGTATAGAAAACACACCAACTTTTTGAAATGTAGAAACAATAAGCTACTAGGAACAAGTGCATCGCTTCTAGTAACAAGTGCCTTACTAGTAGTAACAAGAAGCTAGTAGAAACAAGACTTAGTAATTAGAATTAAATTAAGTTAGAATTGATGGAAGAGCTCTGGCTGACTGACTTCGGCTTCCTGAGGTGCTGGCAACGTCGTAGCCAGCAGTGCGGCTATGGTTCTGGAAAAGCCCTGGCAAACGGTCATAGTACTTCCGCCGCACACCTTTCCTGAGAGAAATTGTGTCTCGTGTTGTCTTCATCTGTTCCTTCTTGTCTTCCACAACTTCTGTTCAACAATCTTTTCCGTGTTGTTTCTATCCTGGATCCAGAAATCGAAACCACACAACACAAATGCACTACAGTCGCTACAGCTATGTTTTCAGCTGGTGCAGCACATGTTAACGACCAAGAATCATGGTCTCCAGCTCGCAAACCAGGGGCTCTGCTGTAGCCTCGTCCACCAAATGGATCATGGAATCCCGGGTACCTTCAAATCAGCTGTTCCCAGCAGGTTTTACCGTGCAGATTCGTTTCAGCAGGAACCTAGTGATTCAAAGGGCTGAACCACGACTAGAGTAGCTTGAGGATAATTTTACTTTCCAACATCTGATCAAATTGCAAACACAAATCGGCCTAGAAGAAATCCATGAAAACTCTCTACAACCATCTAGCCACACATCTAGCCACTCCAAAGTCTGAGACGAACAGGGCTCCGCCGATGCTGTGCCAAGGTGCTGTTGTCCGTATGCATTGGAGGAACGGAATCCCGCTTCCTGATTTCACGGCGCACCCGTTTCCACTGACCTGGTTCCAAACTGATCAGTAAGGCTTAGCTTATTCCTGTGGGCCAAAGTGCAAAAGAGGCCCGAAGTGCTGTGATCAAGCCCTCAACTTGCAATTTTTTTGGTTCGGCAGTGTTACTTGAGCCAATTGTTGTCCCACATTCGTTTCAATGGAGCAAAGCGATTCTCAGAGCTATCCCTTCGGGTACCAGGTGACGCACTCTCTTAGAAACCAATGAGAAGGCTGCAGCGAGTTTTCAACAACACCTAGGACCTAGGAACCGCTTCGAAATGTTTTGAAGATGCGAAGGATTCTTTTGCATTAAATAGAAAACACATGACAACACAATATCAAAAATGGACATTACACCGGTATAGACCCCAGATAGCACCAGCACCTGCCACCCGCACCAGCACGAAAACGCCGATCCAGCAGCAGCACCAGCACCAGCACCACCACAGGCAGAACGAAACGCCGATCCCGAGCCACACCATTGAGAAGTAAGAACCCCGATAGCTTTGCAGCTATCTGGGAAAGGAAAAAAACAAAGTCTAAATGATCAAAGAAAAAGAATGGCATAAAACAACACAGAAAGGAACACACAGTTAAGAATCGATACTTGAGATGGCGAACAGCTAGAAAGCCTTTCAAATATGCGAAGGAGCTCGCTACTTTAACCCCCTCCCAGTCTTCTAGGGACCTAACTTTTACCCACGTTCTAAAAAAGACATTTCTTGTCTTCATCTTTTTTCTTCATTGTCATCCTTTTCTTCTCCAAGCATCCATTGTCCATCCTTCAAGCCATGACCACAAATGAACTGCGTGTCCCCACTAGCACGGGAGAAGTTCCTCGGACAGCTTACTGTAACAGTGTCACCTTAGCTAGCGGAAAAGCGGAACATAGCGGAGCATACAGCATACTGTTCAAATGTGGAGCAAAGAATCATTGGCCAAACATACCAAAGCGAAAGCCGGAAGTAGTTCTCAGAGCGTGCGTTACATGTAGACACCATGTTTTAGGCGGGACAACATGTGGTGATGTACAATTATCAATCTTAGCTCCCCGAGACCCAAAAAATGTAGCTGGCATCACGTGAGTAGAAACTGTCGAACCTTTGTGTGCAAAGTCGGCTAAGGTCTTCATGCGTTTCAAGCCGCAGCAAACGCATCCTCTTCTGTTATAATTGCGTCAACGCAGCCAGGACACACCGCAAAGGCAAAGAGTTTGAGTTGTTTTCTTTTCTTCGATGCATGTCCAGTTCGCAAAAAGAGCATTGAAAGGAGTGCAATACATTCCCAATCTCACCACCCAATGCAAAAAGCCTTAAGGCCCTTCTTGATTCACCGCAATTCTGTTTTCTGAGGGTCTGCAGTCTGCATGATTCCTGTGCCCCATGATGGTTCCCTTCCTCCGGTTCCTCTCACATGCTTTCCATGTTTGACTGTCCAAGTTGCCCAAAGCGCCTGAAGGCAAGGGCAACTGCCGAACCTCTCTCAGGAAGACATGCGCCAAGGGGTTGACCAAGGGCACCGCCTGACCCACACAGTGACCCGTGCGGCATCATGCAGCTTCATGGTGCGACATGGTGTCAAACAGTGAAGCGTCGCAGCTGGTGGCCTCCAATCCAATAGCAAAAGGAACCTACTAGCGATGGCCTCCAACCTACTAGCAATGACCTCCCCGCCTCCAACCTACTAGTGATGACCTCCCCCTAAGAGCGATGGCCTCCAGCCTAAAACCGACGAAAATGTCTCAAAGCCTGCCTTGGGCGCAAGGCTGGTGTTGTATGGCACCGAATGATCATAGCTGGGCCATGGCGGGCAATATTCTGGGATGAGCTCCTTGGTGGAGACGAATTGAGTCTTCAAGTCTTGAACATCAGGAGACAAGTCACTTCTCCATACTGATTCTGTGATGGCCATGGAGAGGAGAACGGATCTCTCCATGGTCAACACATATGTTCTCTTCAATACACATCAGAACAAATTAAATCCTTGCTTTGACGCTCCTTGAGGAGGAAAATATAGGTGATATATATATATATTAAGATGCGGCGAAAGGATTGGATGATATGCTTTTCCCGCTCTCCCGACGAGGAACGCAGCGAAGCCAATCGGCAGGCTCCACACAGGCAGCGCTTGAGTCTGGGTCCGAACTCCGAACAACATATCGAGAGATTAGCATTCTGAGCGCAGAAATGGAGTAGAAACGGAGTCATGGGTCATGTGTGGTGACCGGTGACGTCTAACACGCCACAAAGCAAGGCCAAAGTTTCCGCTGAAGTGCCGATCCATCTAATAGCGATGGCCTCCCCCTGAGAGTGATGGCCTCCAACCTACTAGCGATGGCCTGCAACCTACTCGCGTCCCTGTTACTAGTAGCTTCTTGTTCCTAGTAGTACGGCCAGGAGCCCCTAGTAGCGATGCCCTTTGCTCCTAGTAGCGTCCTTAGGAACCGCAAAACATGATCCGTCCGTGCCGCCTGGGGCGGAGCACCAGCCACTCTCGCCACAGCGCCCAAAAGCATGGCCCGCCACAGGACGATAGCCACGACGACAGCCCAGGTGCACCTGTCCGATACGGGACGAAGAAACCCATATATATATATATGTGATATTGTATGTATGATTATGTATGTAATGTAATGTAATGTAATGTAATGTAATGTAATGTAATGTAATGTAATGTAATGTA